AACTACCACAGGCTCTACATTTGGATTGCAGGACCCCCTCCCCAATGTCCACCTTCCTTTTCTTCCTTATAAACAGAATCCTAGGTATACTGGGATCAGCCAATCTTAAGCTAAAAATTAGTACATTTCCCAGCCCGCCTTGCATGGTAAAGATCAGTAACTTGTAAGGTAAAGTTCCCTGGAGGTTTCGAGGAAATTTTTCCCTTCCTAATATAGATGTTGCCCCTCACCCTCCCCTTTTGCCTCTCTCTAGGTCTTGTGAAGGTTAATTTGGCTGATTCTAGGTTTCCTTTTGATTATTTCCCAGGTTGTAATTACATTAGGTTTTCAAACTGCTGGAAGTCTGATTTCTAGAAAGAGTAGTCCTGTGTATGAGTTGATTGCTTTTTAAAAATTGATTTATGGGCCGACTGAGTGGCTCAGTTGGTTAAGAGCTTGCTCAAGAGTTTGAGCTCTGAGCAACAGCAGTTCGATTCCCGGCCCGAGCTAAGCAGCCGCTGAGCTGCCAACAGGTGGCAGGATGGCTCGGCTTAAAAAAAAAAAATAAGGGCCAGCCGAGTGGCGCGATGGTTAAGAACTGGCTTGGGACACCAGAGGGCCCCGGTTCCGATTCTACATATGAGGGCCAGTGACATTGCCCTCTACAGCTAAGATGCTGAACAACAGCTCAACCTGGAGCTGGGCTGCCGTGAGTCGCCTGCGATGGCGTAGTGGCAGTGGGTTGCCATTGTGTAGCCAGCAGCCAGTGTGAGTGGCCAGCAGCCGCCATGAGCAGCAGTCCAGAAGCCGTTGACTGATCTGCCTCACCCAGGAAGAGCGCAATGATGGTGCCAACTTGGGCCAGGGAAGCAACGTCCTCCACAACTAGACTGAAGAACAAAACGACAGCAACTTGTCTGTTCCCCTTCCCCCAATTCCCCAGCGCTGTTCCCATNTCCTCCACAACTAGACTGAAGAACAAAACGACAGCAACTTGTCTGTTCCCCTTCCCCCAATTCCCCAGCGCTGTTCCCATTCCCCCAATTTCCCATTAAAAAAATAAAAAATAAAAATAAATAAATAAATAAATTGATTTATACAGTTAGATACTGAATATTCTAAGTAAAAATGATTAAACATCTGCCCCTTTTTAAGTTGCTAATTCATGCACAGGCAAACATGAGATTAGGGAGTTAATTACAGAAAGATCAAAAAGTTTGAGGAATGGGCAATTTATTTCAATAAAGGGAAAGAACTAATTTTGCTACAGTGGGAAAAAATGTGGAATTCAAAAATTGCTACATTTAACTTTATCCCTATTTATCTCCGCACAATGTCTTTATCTCAATGTCTCAATTCCCTCTACTTTCTTTTCACACCAAGGTAATGAATGAGAAATATATCAAGTTAACTGATTGTTTGACATATCTGATCTAGAGTGGCTTCTACACCACTCTTCTCTCTCTTTTATCTCCCAGTAAATATTTCTGACTTTGACATTTACCATATTGGAAATGACAGGTGCCTGAGGGCAAATGCATCAAAGCAGTTAGGATCAGAACTGTTTGCTAAGGATTACTTTTTAAAATAGAGCACAATGTAGTTTTATTGAATTCTTAAAGTGCAGAACCAAATAAATCTCATTTATTGTGAAAGAAAACAATCCAAACAATTATAAACCCCAGAAACTAACAGAAGCACATAAACCGTTAGTACAAACATATTTCTTTTTCAAACGCAGACATTTTTCTACAATACACTTATGATCTAAATACCCCTCTCCCTTCTTCCTTTACAACAGGCCATTTTAATCTGTTTGTTTATAGAATGAAAGCCTTAAGGAAAAATCTTATTCACATTCCCACAATAGAAATAAATAAATATTTGGGGCCAACCGAGTTGGCTTGGGAGCACGAGTTTGAGCAGGAGGGCTGCCGGTTCGGATCCCACATGGGCCAGTGACACTGCGCCCTCTACAGCTAAGATGGTGAACAACAGCTCAACATGGAGTTGGGCTGCCGTGAGTCACCGGCGATGGCATAGGCTGCAGTGGGGCTGCAGTGGGCTGCAGGAAGCTACCATGAGTGGCCAACAGCCAGCGTGAGCGGCCGGCAGCCAGCATGAGCTGCCGTGAGCCACCATTGGATGACCAGCGACTGATCTGCCTCAGCCGGGAAGAGCATAATGATCACAATACCAACATGGGCCAGTGAAGCAACATCCTCCACAACTAGACTGAAGAACAAATGGACAGCAACTTGTCTGTCCCGTTCCCCAATTCCCCAACGCTGTTCCCTCCCCCAATTCCCCAATAAAACCTTAAAATAAAATAAAAAGAAAAGAAAGGAAATAAATATTTGTCTCTAGAACCTTAACTAAATCCTGGTAGGGACTCCAACATTTATAAAAGACATGTAAGAGGATGGAGGGTCTTTCATTATCAACAACTTCCTGTTAATATAGCTAAGCAGTTCATTAAATTATTCAGATGCATTCATTGAACTCCTATTATGTGCAAAATGTTGTCCCAAAGACACTTTTCCTTAGATGTAAAATGGGCCACTGAAATAACTTGAGGAGTTTAGGACTTTGAGATTCTCAAATATCCTAATGATAGGAAATGTTGGCTGCTGCTGCTGCTACTGTCCAAAGTGTCCAGTTTATTTCTAAGGAACAGCTCAGCTATTGGAAGAATATAATTCACACTTAAGCATTAATAAAAGATGGAGTTAAGGAGTGGCTGTACCTTTATGACATAACTCAAACAACAATGTGAAGTACATTCGGATGATCTAAAATGCTAGCATCTGTGCAAGGTAGTCTAGGAAATGACACCAGTTTAAAATGAAACCAGCACCAGCTTCAAAATAAACCAGGATACAGACCGGTTGCAATTTATAGGAAAAATTAAAATACAGAACTACTAACCCCTCCCTCAGGACTGAAGTCATACTTCCTCAGACACACTGCCATCATTGGGAAACATGAGAGGAAACTGGGTAAATTTAAAGCACATTAAATAATTAAATAATACAGCCAAGTTGTGTGTGTGGTTCCAAAGACTTTTCAACATATCTTTCAACATTACAGTGGTAGGAGTGAAAATTGAAGAAATTATAAGTATTTTCTCAGAGACAGCTTACAGATTTCTTATACTTCTCAAAGAGAAAATAATGACACATTGTTACTATAACACAACCTATTTTGTCACCCATAAGATACAACTTCACAGGACATCAGGCTTCCAAGGTCTAAGTGCTTCCTTCACATGCCTCTAATTGGTTTTTTTTCCTCTTGAACTAAATAAGTTCTCTTTTCAGGTCAAGTGTTATCTGTTGGCAAAGTACCTTCAGGTTAAATATACTTGCATCATTTCTGTATCCCTCAAGTCAAGCCTCCATTTAAAAGCTTAAACTCGTCTCCTGGTCTCTCTATTCAGGACTTCCCACATTTACTTCATGTGGAAAGGAGAGATACTTATTCTAGAAGAGCGATGCTATTTCCAGCTCATGCCTGGCCTCAGAAAGTCAAACTCAGCCTCATCTGAAAAGAGCCTCCTTAATCTCCCATTCAGAAACTTGCAATTCCTATTATTTTCTAAATGTGATGATTAAATAAAATTAAATGCAAATAATAAACAGTAATTAAATTAAAAAACTTCAAATAAATTAAAAAAATACATGGCGTGGCAGTTTTCAAAGAACGCAATAAAAGTCACTTTCCAGTAAATTCACATTCCTTTCTGTACCAGTTTCTACAACGAGTGGGCAACACTGCCCTCTAACGGGGTGATTACGTTACATCCCTTAGTTCACCTGGTGGGAAAGTGCCTCAGGATGCATTGACCAGTGTGCACACACATTCTTTCTTTTACTTCTGGGACACAGTCTGTCCTTGATCTTGAGGGAATCACTCTGAAGACCATGGAGCTCCTCAAGGGGGCATAAGACTTCATGAAAGCTAATTGAGGGGATCAGAAACTAACATCTGTTGCAGTGGTTTTCAAACTTTAGTAGGCATCAGCATCACCCTGAGGCCTTGTTTAAATACAGTTTGCTGGGCCCCACCTGCAATTTCTGATTCCATGAGTGAGGGGTTGAGCCCAAGAATTTGGCTTTCTAATAGGTTCCCAAATAATGCTAACGCTGCCAGGGGCCACTCTTTGTGAGCCAGACATTGTGCTAGGCACTTTATCTCACTTAATACTCACAACAGGGTAAGGTTTTAGCATCTCTATTTTACAGACCAGGAAGCCAAGTCTCAGAGAGATTAAGTGGCTAAGGTCACACAGTATTGACAGAGTCTGTAATAAACCCAGGACTGTCTAACTCAAAACCATTGCTCTCTTCTCTTCACTACCATGTCAGTAAATGAAGCTATTAGTCACTTCATCTTCCTTGGCTGCAGCTTCTTCCTGCAAGGGAGCAGCACTTAGATGATTGCTTGATTGGTTTCCCACCTCAGATAACCTGGAGGTCTGGCCATGAAGCCATCCAAGAGAGGTCCACTCTATCGCTAGACTGGACCTGTGAGTGGATAAGCTGAGAAGGGAGGGGACAGCATGTCAGCAGAAGGGGCCTCTCTTGGGTCCTGAACCCTCCCACACTGTTCAGAGATCCTGTTGCTCTGGATTCTGGAGGTCTTTGTACTCAGAAACTCTGGAAGAGAGGTTTTTAAGTTAGTATCTCCTTTCACAGGCATTCAGTGGCCCTCAGAGCCTAGTGGGGCTTGGAGAGGACCCAAAGGGTGGCTGTGTCTGCACACCCCCTCCAGCCTTGGCTCAAACCAAGAGCACAGGGGCAGGGGTCACACAACACCTTCAAACAGGAGTGCCCAGTGATGTGAAGACTGAATGGTTTTGAAATCGGAAAAGTAGTTTTCAGGTCACATATCCCACTCTAATCAGGCAAGTAAAAAAAAAAAGTCCCTAGCACTCAACCCCAGGCAGGATGTCACAGTGATGGGAAAAGTAGGGATGTGAGGAACCCCTCCACCCACCCACCCACCCTACCCCCCCTCACACTTCAAGAAAAGTTTTTCTCATCCTTTGCATTCAGCTCCTAGTGCAGCTTGGTGTTTTCCTGAGGGACCTAAAAATCTGGAGCACCCCACGGAGATGGTTTCTGGCCTCGGTCATTAGGGACAAGGATGTTCTCAGAAAAACAGCGCTGAGAGCTGGTCAACAGAGGTCTTTAGGTGGTGGCCACGGCTGGACTTCGTGCAGAGCTGCACTCTGGACTCCAGCTGCTCGCTGAGTTCGTCCAGAGCCCCCGTGCAGGACTCCAGGCTCGCTGCCAGTTTCTGAATCTTGGCCTTCAGCACAGCCTGGCTAACCTTGGTGGCCCCCTCGGCCCGCCTGGGAATGAGGAAGCCACGTGAGCCAAAGAAGACGATGAAGTAGACGGAATTGTACAGGGCGATGGAGGCGTTCCTCCCGCACTGCAGCAGCTGGCGGTCCCCGCAGCCCTGCCAGTGGCAGAAGAACTCGAGGGAACTCAGGATCTCGCGCATCTGGTCCTGGCAGGTGGCTGCGATCTCCTGCACCCTCCGCACCTCCCGGGAGTTGCAGAAGATCATGGAGAGGTCGGACGTGATGGTGACTGCCCCTCCGGCGGTGGCCACCCCCAGACCCACGGCAGATGCCAGGAGTGAGACCCCCAGGGTGACCGGGCTGAGCGAGAGCCCCACGATGGCGGTGACGGCGCCCACGGCGCTCAGGGAGCTGCCTGCCACGTTAGCCGCCAAGGAGCGCCTGCGGAGGCGCTCGAGTCGCCGGGCCACCTCGCGCAAGCGCAGCAGCTGGCTGTGCAGTCGGCCCCGGCGGTCCAGCAGCAGACCGTGGAAGCGCCGCAGTGCATCGGCGCCCTGCAGCTCCCAGGCTGCCGACCCCTCCATGCCCTGCGGGGACACAGACACGCAGTTAGCCTGGAGTCCGCGTGCCTAATGGCGGCTCCCGCCCGCAGTTCCCGTAAGCAAGCGGGGAGTTGACAAATGTTAAACGCAGCAACCACTTCCACACAAGGGGAAACGGGTCATTTTTCAGTGAGTCATGTGTCAAATTCTCAAAGAGCAGTTCTGTAATCTGGGACAAGTTTCACAAATTCTCAGGACCTTAAATCCACCTGTGCAAATAAGAATAATGCTGTCCTCTGCTTTTCTCCCAGGGAACGCTAAGGATGGGCTTTATTAACTATATGCTAAATAAGATGTAAACTTAGGGAGGAGAGAGTGGTGGCATTAGGAAGCTACTGCAATACAGGCCTCTGCTCTATTTGAAAGATAACACTTTACACGTGGTAGGTAGGGTGTGCCCGTTTACCAAGTCCTTTCCTTACATGAAGACTTGGATCCTAACAGTTTTGCAATATAGTTTTTTTCCCTTCTCTGATGAGTGAAAAAGATATGTCACCAAAACTCAAAAATCATATATTCTATCAAATGTAAGAAACTGATCTAAGTCAGATGCTTGCCTGAAGCAACTCTTCTACTTGCTACTCTTCCAGGCTCTTATCTTAGAATTAAGCCTAAGATGTGGTTTGCACTATTTATTCAAACTCAAGCTCATCAGGTCTCATTCTTTGATGGGTACTCAATTAAAACTAAATTATATTAAATTAATATCACTATCTCTTTATTATGAAAGCTTCCTTTTAAAAAATGAGTAAGAGTTGAATACAACAAAGAAAGTGGCTTAAATTTTTTGCTTAACTCACTGAGGGCTACCTTGTACCAAGTTTAATTGAAGCGAATTGCAGATGACTAAGAAAGAGAACTGTACATCCTGGGCTAAAAGTACATCCGTCCTAGTTGCCAAAAATTCCCACCTTCATATCTACTGTACTCATCATTATTAGGAACTTCATAAAAGTGGCAAATAAGCCATCGAAATAGAGAATTTCAATTCTGTGAGCTATCAGGGCAGAAATTATTCTCACTTGAAAGATGAGGAAATTAAAACACAGGTTCTAGATGCAGTTGATTTTTTCAGAGTCCAGTCTAGAATCTTGGTTTACTGACTCTTAGGTCTTAATTTAACTTGCATGCCTCCATAATTCCACCCACCAGTAATAAATTTCCAAGTAAAGACATCTCTTAGAAAATGGGGAAAAGGTCACTTAAAATACATAATGGACCAAGGAGATTATATATATATATATATATATATATATATATATATATATATATATATATATATATATATATATATATATATATATATATATATATATATATATATATATACACACACACACACATATATAACCCAGTATTACAAGTCCAGTAGCTATTTTTCAGACAGTATCCGTCTAGGCTCCCCACTTACCATTCACTTCTGGCTATCTCCAGGAAAGAAAAATCTGAGGCTGTTTCTGGATGAGCACGCTTTATAGTTTCAGAGAACCAATGACTGCCCTGGGAAAGCCTTGTCTCATTCTGAGAATTTGCCATTTCCTGTCCTGGCCCCTGCTGCCTTCATCCAGAAGGATGTGACATGGTGGAAAATGACCTGCCAAGCACACAGCACATCCCGTATTTAGGAAATGAACATTGTGTGTTTGCTTTCCCCCAAGCAGGAAAAGAACTGCAGGCTCTTCCCCAACTTGAAACGAGTGTAGTCATTCTCCCAGGGGGTATACCCTGCCTTTCCTCTCCTGAGAATAGCTAATGACGTTATCTGGGAGGGCATCAAAGGCACCCCAGGCTGACCAATTATAGTGTTTCTTGAGAAGCCACCATTATAAAATCTTTTTTTTTTTAAAGAAAAGGGGGGTGGGGACAACTCTTATGTTTGATATAGTCACTTAAATCCACTCCTGTATTTTAAAAAGCATTGTGAATCTGTGAGTGGTTGAAACATGTGATCCAATTAGCATGAAGCCTTAAAAAACCCAGAAAGGCCACACCCACAGGAAGTGCTGCGTGCAGTTTGGGCCATCTCCAGCTGGGAGAAGATGTTGGAGGTCTCAGAAAGGGCACACTGCAGGCCACATGCGTCAGAAGAATCTGTGGGGTCAGGCTGCACAAGGAGCTAATTATACACTCTCAAGAGCAGCAGAATTCGCCTTCCCAGGTTTTCATTTGAGGTAGCAATTGTAGCCCATGCAATAGTTCAATGAACGGATTCTATCCCCAGGTTAGTGAAGCAAGTGCTGAAGGGCAGTTATCTGAATAATTCAGGAGGGAAAAAAAGAGTATAGCATCTGCAGATGCTTTCTGGGGCATTCACATAGGTGGTTGGAGTTCAGCCTGGAAGCCTCTGTCCACAGGGCCCCAAACACAGCATCCTTCTAACACTCTCACCTTCAAATAAGGAAGGCCAAATTGGTTTCTCTCTTAAATTATTATTGTCTCAACTCTCTGGTTCATCTTCAAAGTCTTAACAGCCATATCTTTTTGAAACACTATTAAATTCCCCACCTTTAAAACTATACTGTGTATCTATTAACACAGGCCCTTTGGTACTCCTCACACCCATGGTCCTTTTGAACCTGATTTTTCTGAATTTGGTCCAAATCCAAATGTTCTGGTCATAACTCTTCAAAGAATAAATATAACCTTAGTCAAGATGCCTTCAATATCTACCTGCGCTTTTGAGGTAAGAGGTGGGAAAATATCTTTCTCTGTCCCCACAGACATAATCACTCCAAATGGGATGTAGGCCAGGGTGAATTGACGGTGGGGAGGCTGTGGGCCAGGAGGGACCATACCCTGATTCTTCAGTTCCCATATGCTCTTCCAACTCCCCTGGACATTGTGTGTGTTGGGTTTTGATGAATACAATTACATCTTTATTTCACGGATGAGGAATTTGCTGGGATACAGACAGGGTCATCACGTTTAGAGCATCAGTAATCATAGAACAGAGCTAGGATGAAAAATAGAAGGTATAAGAGAATGGACAGCATGTGTACTGACCTCAGCCCATATCCTGAGGAATTTGTTTTTCTCTGTTATAAGCCAGTTTGCTTCATATTTGTTTCTCTATGGAGCAAAAAGAATTCAGTCATTTGACAACGTGGGCTGGCAAGTTGAAGTTTTACTGACAGTAAAACTTCGGTACTTCACATTATTTACAAAAATGGACACAAATGTAACACTTTTGACAGCATTTATTTATTTTCATCTATTTACGTACAATAAGTAATTTGAGAAATAATTGAAGATAGTTTAACCAAAAGTTTTAT